TGTACATCCAGCTGCTAGCTGTACGTACAGCTTTCAGGTGTATATGCAGCTTAGGTATGCATATGCATCTCTGGGGTGTATATGCAGCTCTGAGGTGTATATGCAGCTCTGAGGTGCATGTGCATCTGTGGGGTGTATATACAGCTCTGGGGTGTCTGTGCAGCATTGAGGTGTATGCGTGATTTCTTTTTTCTCTACGCTTTCTGCTCTGCGGTGTATGCGCAGCTGCAGGGTTTATATGGCTGCGGTGTATGCGCAGCTCTGCGGTGTCTGTACAGCTGAGGTGTACGTACACCCGAGGGTTTATAACAATGCAAGAAGAAGGTTTAAATGCAGTGGAGGACTTGTTAGGGGCCTCCTACTGCCGAGTTGCTAAGGAGGTAAAGAGGAGTAAAGACACTTAAATATGATTTAAAATATATTCAGTAAATAAAAAGAAATAAATAAATATTAGAGCGAGAGAGAGAGGGACGAAGTACACGAAGAGACAGACACAGAAAGAAGGGTTAATAAACACGCTGTGAACTCTATTGCCAGCATTAAGGGTTTAGGGTTTAGGGTTTAGGGTTTATGTAGTTGGTGTGTATTTGCAGGCATTGAATTCCCAGCGGATTCTTTTCAACAAGTTAGTTTGCTTCTGTACGAATGTGCAGGGTTTAGGGTTTAGGGTTTAGGGTTTAGGGTTTAGGGTTTGGTGTATTGTGTGTGTGTGGGGTGTGTTTGGGGTGTACATACACCAGGCTGTTAACTCAGCGGCGTCTGCCTGATGAGGGGTGGACTTCGCTGCAGCTGCAGCAGCTGCTGCTGCAGCTAGCAGCAGCAGATGCAAACAACTTGCAGCAGCAAGCATCAGTTGGTGAAAGAGAAGGAAGGATATACAGCCCCCTCGTAGCACAACGCCACTTCCACTTGGCCCATGGAATCGGAAGGCAAGAAAGGGTTTAGGGTTTAGGGTTTAGGGTTTAGGGTTTAGGGTTTAGGGTTTAGGGTTTAGGGTTTTTTAGGGTTTAGGGTTTAGGGTTTAGGGTTTAGGGTTTAGGGTTTAGGGTTTAGGGTTTAGGTTTTAGGGTTTAGGGTTTAGGGTTTAGGGTTTAGGGTTTAGGGTTAGGTTTACGGTTTACGGTTTCGGGTTTTGGATTTAGGGTTTAGGGTTTAGGGTCAAGTGTCTAGGGTTTAGCTTAAGGAGTTTAGGGTTTAGGGTAAAGCGTTCAGAATTTAGGGTATAGGGTTTAGGGTTTAGGGTTTGTGTGCTACAGGTCGGGGGATATCTTCGCGCTGCAGCCAAAGGCTGTGGGGTCTTCTCTGGTGTACAGACTCTGCAGTTACTTGGCCTTAGATGCAATTAAACTATGCGGCATAAAGGCAAGGCTTCCCTAGGGTTTAGGGTTTAGGGTTTAGGGTTTAGGGTTTAGGGTTTAGGGTTTAGGGTTTAATGAGGGTGTAGAAGAATGTCTCAGTCTCTCGCTTTATTATTGTAATCAAAGATGACAATCCTTAATTCTCTATTTCCCTTCTACACCCTAGGGTTTAGGGTTTAGGGTTTAGGGTTTAGGGTTTGTGTGCAGGCAGCAGTTAGTTGTTTGCCTTTGCCTCTGGCTACTGGGATGAGTTTGAGTTTGTGTTTATCTGCATTGCGGTGTCTCCGTCCTGCGCGAAGTTTTGTTGTTTTGTCGAGGGTAGATCAAAAGGCTTCAATCAAATGCGTGCAGCATGCAGGTGCTTCTACTGTCTCCTTCTGCTGCTGTCTCCTTCTGCTGCTGTCTCTCTCCTTCTTCTTTTATCTTATTCATCTTCTACTGTCTCCTTCTGCTGCTATCTCCTTCTGCTGCTGTCTCCTTCTGCTGCTGTCTCCTCCTTCTTTTATCTTATTCATCTTCTACTGTCTCCTTCTGCTGCTGTCTCTCTTCTTCTTTTTTCTTATTCATCTTCTACTACTGTCTCCTTCTGCTGCTGTCTCCTTCTGCTGCTTTCTCTCTCCTTCTTCTATCTCCTTCTACTGTCTCCTTCTTGTGCTGTCTCCTTCTGCTGCTGTCTCTCTCCTTGCTCTTTTACCTCCTGCTGCTGTCTCCTTCTGCTGCTGTCTCCTCCTTTTATGTCATTCATCGTCTACTGTCTCCTTCTTCTGCTGTCTGTCTCCCTCAGCTGCTGTCTCCTTCTTAGTTTGTCTCCTTCTTCTGTCTATATCCTTCTTCTGCTGTCTATTTCTTCTCTTGTCTTCGTGTTCTGCTTCTGTCTGTCTCTCTTTGTCTTAATCTGTCTCATGCTGCATCTTTTTGTCTGTCTCCTTCTGTCTCCTGTGTCTCCTTCACTGTCTCCTTCTGTCTCTCTTTGTCTTTATCTGTCTCATGCTGTCTCTCTTTGTCTTTGTCTGTCTCTTTTTGTCTCTTTTTGTCTCTTTCTCTGTCTCCTTCTGTCTCTCTTTGTCTTTCCCTGTCTCCTCATGTCTCCTTTTACATGCACATGTATATATATATATATATGTATATATATACATATATGAAAATCTATATGTATGCATGCGTATATGTATGCGTATACATAAATATATATATATATATATTTATATTTATATATTAAAAAGATATTTATCTGCTGCTTCCACTGTTGCTGTTGCTGCTGCTGCTGCTGCTGCTGCTGCTGTTGGTGAAGGTTTGAAGCTGCTCGTAGTGGATCAACAGATAAGAGAGGATGACTCTCTAACAACGGACCTCCGCGGCATTGAAGGTGACAGCTAAACCCTAAACCCTAAACCCTAAACCCTAGTTGCATGACCTGGGGAGAGAAGGACAGTCAGAAGACCCGCCTAGTTTTTGCTGCTGCTGCTGCTTCTCATGCTGCTGCTACGCTTGCTGCTGTTGTTGGAGCTGCTGCTGCTGTTGTTGGTTCTGCTACCCCGCTTGTTGCTTCTGCTGCTGCTGGAAGGGCCTTTACTTCTGCTGCTGTTGCTGTCGCTGCTACTACTACTAGTACTGCTGCTGCTGCTGCTGCTGCTGCTGCTGCTGGTTGTAGGATATCTTAGTAGAAGTAGATGCGACTGCCCACAGCAGCGACAGCAACGTAACGGTTTCTGCTGCTGCTACCGCTCCTGCTGCTGCTGCTGCTGGTGACACGGCCTCTGCTGCTGCTGCTCTTCTGCTGCTGCTGCTGCTGCTGCTGCAGATGCACTGGAGTCACTGGGTGATGATGTTCTCTGCGTTGTCTCCACCACTTCGGCCTTCGCCCCTCGTCAGCCCGACCGCATCCCTGAAATTGCACAAGTGAGACCCCACAGCTTTGTGGGGTGTACATACACCTCAACACTGTGGGGTGTACATGCACCTCAACACTGTGGGGTGTACATACACCTCAACTTTGTGGGGTGTGTACGTACACCTCAGATGTGTGTGTAGTCCTTACACCTCGCTTCGTCTTGAAGCTTCCTGCTGCTGCAGTGTCTGCTGCCGCTGCTGCTCGCTCTGAAGCAGCTGCGGCTGCTGCTACTTTTGCTGCAGTTGCGGATGCTGGAACCGTTGCCGCAGCAATCGGTGCTGTTGCAGTTGCTGCTGCAGCTGCAGTTGCTGCTGCAGTTGCTGCTGCAGTTGCTGCTGCAGCTGCTGCTGCATCACCAGGGCGACTGCGGTGTACGTGCTTCTGTTTGGGGTGTATGCGCAGCTCTGCAAGAAGAAAGATGTCTTTCATTTGGTTAATAACGCCTACGGCCTCCAGTGCAGCAAGTGCTGCTCCCTTATAGAACAGGTGCTGCAGCAACAGCAGCAAACGAAGCAGTTGCTGCTCCTACTCCCGCTGCTGCTGCTGCTGTTTTTGCTGCTGCTGCTGTTGCACTGTTGGGTGGTGCTTGTATTTTTGCTTCTGCTGCTGCTGTTTTTGCTGCTGCTGCTTCTTCTGGTCTTGCTCTTGCTACCACTCCTATTGCTACCGCTGCCTCGCCCTTTGCTGCTGCTGTTGCTGCTGCTGCTGCTGCTGCTGCTGCTGCTGCTGCTGCAGGGGTGTCGTGTGGGGCGAGTAGATTTGATTGTCTCCAGCACCGATAAGAATTTCATGACGCCGGTTGGAGGGGCCCTTGTTTACGGCCCTGAGCGCAGGTCTGTCTCCTTTTTATTATTTTGCTGTCTCCTCTTTGTTATGCTGCTGTCTCCTTTTTATTATTCTTCTGTCTCCTTTATATTATTCTGCTGTCTCCTCTTTGTTATGCTGCTGTCTCCTTTTTATTAGTGTTTTATCCTTTTTGATTCAGTGTCTCATTTGCTGCTGCTGCTGCATGCATGCATTGTCTCCTTTGCTGCTGCTGCTGCTGCATGCATTGTCTCCTTTGCTGCTGCTGCTGCTGCATGCATTGTCTCCTTTGCTGCAGCTTGGTGTCTCGTGTCTCCGCCTGCTACCCGGGCCGTGCGAGTATCAGCCCTATTATTGATTTGTTCATCACGCTGCTGCAAATGGGTGAGGCAGCAGCTGCTGCTGTTGCTGCTGCTGCTGTCGCTGGTCCTGCTGCTGTTGCTGCTGCTGCTGCTGCTGTTGCTGCTGTTCGTGTGATGTTGCCGCGGGTGTCGCTGCAGGTGCTGCTGCTGCTGCTTCTTGTTGCTGGTGAGCCCCTCTTTGCTGCAGCTTCTACTGCTGGTACTGTTTCTGCTGCTGCTACGGTTGCTGCTGCTGCTGCTGCTGCTGCTGCAGGTCGTTCAGGGCTAGAGGATTTGCTGCAGCAAAGGAAGAGACACTTCTTGTGGTTTAAGCAGCAGCTAAAACAACTGACGGAGACACTCGGTGAGAAAGGAGACACAAACAAATCTTAAAAACTTTTAAGGAGACAAAAAAGAATAATTAAAAGGAGACAAAAAAATAATTAAAAGGAGACAGCAAACCAGCTAAAGTAATGCATTAACCCTAGAAAGGAGACAGAAGATAACATGCATAGATTGAGGGGCTTCGTAAAGGAAGAAAGAGAATTCAAAAGATATTGCTGCTGCTGCTCTCATGCTGCTGCTGCTGCTGCTGCTCTGGTGCTGCTGCTGCTGCTGCTGCTGCTGGAGGGGGTGTGTTTTTGCTGCTTGCTTGTTTGATTGCATGCAGGTCTCCGTTTGCTGCCTTGCGAAGATAATAAAATATCAGTTGCTGTTGATCTGTCTCCTCTAGCAGATAAACAAAAAGGAGAAGGCGGTAAGAAGAGTAAATAATATTGTGTCTCTTTTTCTCTCTTTCTGTCTGTCTCTCTTTGTCTCCTTCTCTGTCTCCTTCTCTGTCTCCTTCTTTCTTTTACTCTGTCTTTGTCTCTTTCGCTTTTTGCTTCTTGTTGTCTCTGCGTGTCTCTGCCTCTCTATCGTGCAGCAGCAGCTGCAGCAGTAGCAGTAGAAGCAGCAGCAGCATTAGCAGCAGCAACCGCAGCAGTAGCAGTAACTGCAGCAGCAGAAGAAAAACCATTATCAACAGCAGCAGCACCAGCAGCCACACCTGCAGCAACAGCAGCAGCAGCTGCGGTAACAGTAGCAGCAGCATTAGTAGCTGCAGCAAGAGCAGCAGCAGCAGCACCACCACCACCACCAGCAGCAACCGCAGCTGCAGCAACAACAGCGACAGCCACACCAGCAGCAGCAGTTGCAGCAGCAGCAGTAGCAGCAACAGCCACAGATGCAGCAACAGCCACAGCTGCAGCAGCAGCCACAGCAGCAGCAGCAGCAGCAGATGGATGCAGATGATGTTTAATTGTTTTAATGCTGCAGTTTCTTTCTTGGGGTCTCAATTATACTACCGTCGGTGCTCCGGCCTTCGAGTTGTTTGCCCCTCAGAAAAGAGTAAGAAGTTTATTTATTTATTTATTTATTTATTTATTTATTTATTTGTTTGTTTATTTATTTGTTTATTTACTTCTTTGTTTGTTTATTTGTTTGTTTATTTTTTTATCTATTTATCTATTATTTATTTTTATATGTTGTCTTCTTCCGTTACATTGGCTATCATATATATATACTATATATATGTTTATATATATAATATATATATGTTTATATATATATATATATTATAAATATATATATTATAAATATATACTTGTTTATTTATTTATTTTGTTTTTCTTTAGGTGTTGTGGTTGGGGGCGTTGAATTTGTTAGCTTCGGCAGTCACTGCAAATTTAAACACCCTTACTGCTCTCTTGCATGCGCTATAGGTACGCAGCAGCAGCAGCAGCAGCAGCAGCAGGAGCAGCAGCAGCAGCAGCAGCAGTAGCAGCAGCAGCAATAGCAACAGGAAGAGCAAAAGCAGCAGCAGCAGCAGCAATAGCAATAGAAAGAGCAAAAGCAGCAGCAGCAAAACAATAGCAGAAGCAACAACAACAGCAGCAGCAGCAGCTTCAATTGCAGCAGCTGATACTCACCCCTATAATATATATATATATA